TTTTTTTTTTTTTTTTCTTTCAAAATTATCAACACAGCAGTGATTGTATCAAATTTTCCCGACGAAATTACTCGAATCGAATTACCTTATTACCTTGCGCCTCGCACACACAATAAGCGCGTAGGAATATACCGGTCAGTAAACTCTACGGGATACAGGTTTCGTTTTCAGATCGCACGATTTTTTTTTTTTCATTCATCTGCATGATCGTTTTTTTTTTTTTTTTATACGGTTCTCCGAAATCCTTGCTGTCCCGTAATAAATAAGAAAACAAACCGTTACCAGTGTATAATGTACAATAAAACAGCCGATCTCGGATGCGCGCTCTGCCGATTTTTTTTTAGTGGTCCACCGCGCGCATGTATACATATGTATACCTCTACACATACTACACACTCGAGCGAAAGAAAGAAGGAAAACAGAGCCGGTTAAGTGGGTCATCGTCCCGAAATCTCACTATGTAAGTACAGCCGGTCACGGTCGCGTCGGACATTCCACTTTTAAAAGCCAACCCACGATGTTATTTGCTTTTTACGCGTTGGCGCTTCTAATTATATGTGTATTCGCCTATGATTCGGTGGAATGGTATTCCAACGCGTACATATGTATATTATAAAGGAAATAAACAAAATGAAATAAAAAGTACCATAATATAACACACAAACGCATGCATTACCGATCAATGTAAGTGCGTTGTACCTCCGATTCGCGTGGAAAATCGTTATCATCGCGATTACATTGCGATACACACGATAAACATTGACTCACGTTGGAGTAATGCGAAGAAACTCGAATCACTCTGATAAAATGTAATTTGTAACTATATATATAGAGATGATGCAACAACGCTCGTAAACGTATAGGTAACACATATTATGATGGAGAAACAACGAAATAAGGTACCGTACGCGCGTATCACGGCGTGGAAAACAGGCGCTTTCGATTTTACATATCATTTCGCTCGCGATCGGAATTTTCTTAAATCGATACACCGTACAAATTGCGTTTGTACGTATACCTATACGTGGGTGCACGAGGCCTGTTGCGTTAAATTGCACGTATAGTACTTATGTATGTCCGTGGATTTTTCAATTCGTGCAGGAGTTATTGCGAAACCAGCGCTAACGCTGGGGGGCATATGATAACTGTTTGCTTCTTGAGTCATTCGGATCGTGTTTTACCTCAAATATAGCCGTACGTGAAACGATCCATTATTCCTTGATCAGTAAATACTTGAGTGTACACATATAAGGAATAAATGAGATCGAGTTTCCCGGACGTTTCGCTGCGCATCATCAGGCGCGAAAGTGCGAGTAAGCAAAGAGCCGTATTTACCCGTCGCGCGGGTGTTACAGCTGCGATGGTCCCAAGGAAGAAAAAAAAAACGAGAATCCAAATGCGTACGGGAGAGGATGAGTATACGGAGAGGTGAAGAAAGAAAAAAAGAAGTCAAGCCGGTTGATGTAACGCTATAGGAGGCACAGAGTACAAGTACTTAAATGGGCATATATATACCTTTTGTGTGCAGATGCGGAAAAGTGTGGCATGTACATGCATGAGAGAGAAGGAGCCGCGAAACGCAATTATATTCCAGGTGTTGCACGCGGGTGCATATAACAAAGCGATGCGGGCGTTTTGTTGATTTCTCTCGCGTAATAATGCACCACGTGTCTGCATGGTACACACGGAAACCTTTGCTTTGCCGATCTAGATCGAGTTTACACGTTCGTGTGTACGGGTGTTACGTTGCAAAAGCCAAAGTGTCCGTTATGTGTTTTTCTCCTCTTCCCGTATAAGGATACGATTTACGTCACGTGTGATTATTGTTGCCTGGAGATGCATTCAATCGTATGCGTACTCATATCCTTCATTTGTTTACATAATATGCCGAGGGTATAAATTAACCCAATCACGGGAGATATCTCTATTTTGCACCACATCCGCGATATTGATACAGTATACATATATACATATATGGGTATTGCGGAAAATTATCCTGCAACAAAAGAAAAGACGTGTCCCGCCGTACACTCTCCGTTTTAGTATGCGAAGGCAAAATGAAAAAAAAAAAAAAAAAAAAAATAAGCTCAGTATAACGGAGGAGTCATTTGAGAAAGAAAAAGGCACGTCGCGTCTTATCTCGCGGACGCACAGCCGCGCAATGAGGAAATTCGCGTCTATGATGTGTATTGTATACTCCCCGGCAAACAAAAGCGGAATAAGTAGTGAGGTCAGTAGAGAGAGTGTGGTGTATGCTTGCGCGCGTCCCTGTCGATTCCGCAAAACAGGCAAATGTTTTCTCCTCTCTCTCTCTCGGGTCAAACGATTTTGTCGAGTTCAACCCATTTGAATATTTACCTTTAAACTTTAATCCTTTGCAATATGCTTTCAAATTATTATGATAGGTACACGCCGACACATGAGTTCAAACGCAATAACAAAATAATCTCATTGGTGTTGAACTGATAGGTACCTACTTGTGGTATTGAAAAAACAAGTGTCAATGGCACATATAATATATAGGTATTTTATCGAAGCGAGCGTTTTTAAATGTTTGAGTAATGCACTGAAAACCCAATTAATTAATTTATCAAAGATTTCTTAACAATACAATGTGTACGTAAGTAGTTCAAATGATGGTATACAGTCACAAGTGACTCTCTTTCTCTCGCACACCTCTATCGGGTGCAAGAAGCGCGCGAGCCGCATGTTAATTGTACAGGTATAATATATATACACGGAGGGACGGCACGCGTTAAGTACAAAAGACGTGACTGTATAAATATATACATGTATAAATGTACAAAAGGCCGAGCAGGTTGATACGTTACACGTACATTAATACACACAGCAAGCAACGTCCGTGACCATGGCCGCGTTCATGGAATCTGTGCCATCGTCCCGGTCCGCCGTCGTGTCCGTATATATACATACACGTGCATACATTACACGAGCTGGTGTATTATATGTGTACATAATATATACGTTGACAAAAGAAGGAAGAGAGACGAGATAAACGGGCGCATCCTCCTTTCGCGCCCTACTCGTCCCTTTCACCAAATTATATGCACACGTACGTACATATTATATGCCGATACTTATACTGTATAATATACGGTGTGGGAAAATCAGATACATCGCGGAATACTATCGGCACTTTTTTTTTTTTCTTTGTTTATCCGTATCCGAGCGTGTAAGTACTTATACTTACGTATGTAACAAGTCGATGAGCGATCGGTTGGAAGAGGCAAGCTATACACAATAAAACTACGCATCCCCTCCAGGTGACGTGGTCCACTTGTGTGTGTGTTTTCAATCGAGGCTCTTAATTAAGTACAAAATACAACTTGGGCTCTTTTTGCGCGATCGGTCTCTGAATCTTTTTCGTACAATTTTAACGAGATTTCGTGACTGGACAGTTTTGACATATACGAATAGGAGAGGCTACTGTCAATATTTACGCATTGCTGTTGCTGTCGTGCTATATTTATGATTATTTACAACGGGTTACGGTACCTCGGTCCATGCGGTTTCTCATACCGATTTTTTACCGATCTCCGCTGGGCGCTTGGATTTTTTAAGAAAGTCATTAACCACGCTTTTCTCCCTTCGTTACTTTTTTTTTTCTTTCGTTATCCATCAGGATGAGATGTCTGATTTGTTTGCGGGCCTTTAGGAAAACTATAATATGTAGCCAATGAAAAGTAAAATCAATTTGATTTTTTCTCTTGATAGAGATGGTTTCGATTAGGATTAAAGAAAAATGATAATTAAGATAGTGTGCGCTCTTACATATACGATGCTGGTCATCGCTAGCAGTCTTTGCCGTTAAAACGCGTGTCGTCTTTGATTATGTTAAAACGACTTTTCGACGCGCCTTCGAGTTCCTCGAGTGTACCGTTGTTTCACGCACCAAGCGATTAATTAAGCGTTTTTACGGCTTGTCGATTAAAATTTCCATTTAACAAAAAAAAAAAAAAAAAAAAAAAAACGAATTTTATTACCATCCAATTTTCACATCGCCGAGTTTCTCCGTCCAAAACTCACCCCCTCCGTGAATCGCTCTCGAGGGACTTTATACAATGAGGTTTTCCTCCTTTCACCTCTTGTGTCCCTCTACACTTACGTACACGTAGGTACGAAAATTCATTATCAGCGCGAAACGAAACCAAGTTAATGTGTCCATCGTTGAAATATCAGAGCAATTAAGGTATATATACGTACGACAACCAACGACGACAACGACGACAACGACGCTTTATTTTGATCGCAAAGTATAAAACGTACATGTATCCTGTGTACGAAAGCTATACACACGGTTTGTTCATTTGCGTAAGGAAAAATGGCAGGAAGCTCGTACAGGTACACCATTTTTTTATTTTTTTTTTGCCATCCACCGTCCGTCGTGTACTTGTACACATTATATATGCCCAGGACGCGAAAGCGTTGACCCACTATATACCGGAGCATCGACTATATATAGCATACGTACATATACACATTACCTTATTATAACTTGCTACTTATAATATAATGTATTATACCGTAGTATGCCAATTGCCATAGTATACATATATATGAAACTGGTATACACGCGCGTGCCTTTTTGAGTGACGCAATGATCTTCGTTAACGGTAATATTCTTTTCCTCGTCATAGAGTACGGAGGCAGTGCGTACGTACATATTTACGCATACATACACATTAGACGCGAAGGAGAGCGAGAATGAAAAAAACTGTGTCACTTGGCATTATCATATATTGTGTAGTACTTATTGGCTTTTTACCTTTTTTAATGGAATTCTCAGATGTACATATATGTATATGCATATGAATAACTGTATAGTTGTCAGCCCCTACTTATTTAGGTATATATACGTATAGGATTTTAATGCAACACATTAAAAAAACAGATAGCGGTAATTTTTCCGATCAACGAAAACCCGCCCGCACATTAACGCGCGATAAAACATTCCAGTGGTTATAAAAGCGCGCCCAGCGATGACGGCACTTCGATCGCTGCTCCTGAGCGCCGCGCTGCTCGGCCTCGCCGGGGCGGACTTTCTCATGGGCGGCCACCTGGACAACAAACGCGCCGTCCAAGCACCCACGGACGAAACCTCAGCGGGGGGGAGCTCGCACCTGGTTCTCGGGAAATCGGCCGAGGACTACGACCTCGTGGCCGAAGAAAGCGGCGGCGCGGCCTCCACGACCTACCCGGACCAGGAACCAAGGCACGAGCACTATTGAACAAACAGCATTTTTTCATCCAAGCTTATTGAAACGAAAAGCAAAAATGGCTCAATTACGATGCGTGTGTGTTTCAGGTATAAGCTGCCCTACGCGTTTGCCTTCAACGGCGGCAAGCCCTTTTCCCTGGAGAAGGACCCGATAACCGGTAAGATCGACTTCGAGAAGGCGCCGCCCGTCAAAGCCCTGAACCTCAGCGAGAGCTACGGTAGCGAGAACGACGAGGACGACGGCGAGGATGAGACCGCGCGTATCGATCGGGAACCGGTTTACGGCAAGATCGGCTACTTGGACGGCAAGCGCGTCGTTTCGAGCAACTCGAAGACCGAGCGCGTCGGGCCGAACGAGATAAACCCCTACTCGCCGAGTTTTCACGATTTTCTCAATTTACCGGTCAAGTACAGCTCGGACAAGTACGAGCGCGAAAACTATCCCCTCATATCGAGCTCGTACGCCAATACCAAGGTACAAAGTGGCTCGAGTAGCTACAACATCAACAATCACAAGCCTTACCACCCGGACGACGTGACCAAGGTACTCATTATACATACTTTTTAGTTTACATCTTTTTCCCTTGACGTGTATCGGTTTGCGCCCGATTGACGTTTATTGTATTGTAGGTATATGTATTATTTTATTTGTTTATTTTTTTTTAGCAGACGTCGATCAACACGCCCACTCGTAAGGTCTACTATCCCAAGTCTACGAGCACGACGACGACGACGAGGAGGCCGGAAACAACTTCGAGCACGACGACGACGACGACTACGACCACGAGCACCACGGCCCGGCCGGTCGAGAAAAAGCCGACGGCGTTAAAGTCGACGAAGCCAGTGACAACGACGTCGAGCACGGCCAAGGTGACCACCGTGAGGGCGAGTAGCACGCAGCCACCCGCAACTACGCAGTCGCCCAAGATAACCACCTGGAAGCCACCGGCAAAGAGTACCGAGCGCTACGACGAGTACGAGGACATGCTGCCGATCGAAAAGCTCACGAGCACAAAGTTCAGGTGAGCGAGGACCGTACATGCATGGGCATACAATTGTAATATGCTAAACGTTTTAAATATCGCGTTTTCAGTATGTACCCGATGGGCGATAAGGATCAAAATGGCCACAGCAATGGGCCGCAGAGTCCTACTCGCGTGACAACTTACGACTACAGCGACGGCTATGACGATTACGAGTCGTCGCCCGAAGAGCAGCCCCAAGATCACCATGAGCCGCAGCACACCCACAGCGTTGACATCGTCCAGAGCATCGAGCTCGAAGGCCCGTCGCTAACGACGACCACCACTACGACCACGGCGTCCCCTACTCCACTTCCCACAGGGCCGTCCTCTCCTTCTCCGTCAACGCCGATCGTCCACCTGACCACCTCGAAACCGATGATGGTGCCGGTTCCCCAGCAGCCGCCCGTGACCTCGATGCCCCTGGACAGCGGTGCCAATGGCCACGCGCACGTGCCTCAGGTGCACGAGAACGTCATCGACAGTCATAGACCAACCGAGTTCTTCATGGGCAGTAATAACAACAACAACAACAACAACAACAACAACATGCCCGTGGGCCACGGGAGCGTGCACTTTTCCAACGGGATGATGTTCGGCAGGCCCGGGAGCGTGATAAGCGTCCTTCCCGAGAGCACGAGCAACGTCATAGTGCCCCACGACCAGGACACGGTATCCTTCGTCCTGGGCAACCGGCAGAACGTCGAGGGAAGCTACTACACCCACGGCGCCACAGGATCGGAGGAGATGCAGCAGCGGCCCTACGTCGTGCCTGGCAATGGCAACCCGAGCGAGAACAACTTCCGGCCCATCTTCGGCACGGTGTCGGTCGTCGACTCCTCGGCAGTGCCCGCGGCCGGCTACAATACCCAGCAATGGTACAGCCAGTCCGACTCCTCCTCTTCTTCTTCCACGCCATCCGAGCTGGAGCCGAACCAGAACACCAAGAACCAGCCGCAACCGTCGGTCGTCTTTCCATCGGCGCCTGATAGTCAGGAGAGCAACGACCGTCACCACGTCAGTGCTGCAGTGCCAACGACTGCGCAGAACAAGGACGAGGTCAAGGTCACCAGTATCGTCAGCTTCCCCGATAATAATGGCGGTCCAAACAACAACCAGAACGACGAGCAGAACCCAAGCCATCCGGCCGTCGAGGAGCACATAATAGTCATCAACCAAGCCGACGGTTCGGTCAAAGAGATCGGGCCCAACAGACAGAGCACTCCTGTCGAGAACAGCGTCGTCTTTGGTGGCAGTAGCGAGAAGATCGGTAACAACAACAACAACAACAACAACAATAACAATCCGAATCTGCCGCAATTGTCGGAGAGCCTGACGCCGCCCGCGGAGGTCCACCATCAGTCCCGGCCGGTGGTGCCGGCTGGCATGAGCCAACAGCGGCCGCCTTACTATTTCCACTACCAGCACGGGCCAAACGCGGCCAAGCCCTCCGAGTTCCCACCCAGACCTCAGAGGCTACCTCTGCCCCCGAGGCCGGAGCTCCCGCCCGTGGGCTTCAAGAGGAGGCCCAATCCACCCCACGATCCGAACCTGCCCAACATCCTGCCCCAGTTCAGACCAAACGCCAAGACGTCCCACGGTCACCGTGGCACCGACAAGATCGGTAAGTTGTGTTAACACAGCTCGCGGCTTACATATACTTATTTACATTACTCGTGGTTATCGGCATCCGTTAGTTGCGAGTAGATTATTATTGATTTTCAAGCTAGGGTTTCGTTTCACACGCGCGGTTATGACCCGAGCGTATACATATATATATATATATATATATATATATATATATATACGTGCACTTGTAATTTTCTCACTGACGTCAAGTTGCATTGGCGATTTCTTTCCGAGGCTTGAGAAATTTTAACGAGAGGCAAAGAGAAAAAAAAAAAATACGGTTTCATTGAGAAAATTGCAAAGTGGAAAACAAATGCATACCTGTCTGTATGTATAATGCGCTCTCGAGGTTCTGCGAAAATAACACGCGTACATATATAAAAGATCAACGGCGTCGCTGCATACATCTCGTTATTATGAAAATTAAGTTTTCCCTGCAACGGTGAGCTCGCGGCTCGTAAATAAGTATCTTTGCCACACCGCATAGTAGGTACATTTGATGCGGATGTGGGACGTTTGCCTACTTTATCGAATAGCGCTTGTGGGATCTCAAAAACGATGTCAATCGAGGGTTCTTTCCGTGCTCCTTGTGCGTATAATATGTACTCGTCACATATACGTACCTACGCGCGTGCATGTACGTCCATTATATACTTACCGCTCACGGCTATTATGCACGGCCAAGATTGTTTAATCTCAATCGCAGTGTGATCATTACTTTCTCGATTTCCTGCTGCACATACCCTATATTTGTGCACAGGGTATAGGCCGACATGAGAACGATCAAGCGACTATACTTTTATGCGATTTCTATTGTTTTCGAGGAAGTACACTTTAATACACTGTATTTTAACAAATATGCGCCCTCGGTCGCACTGTGTTCATCAGGAACCCTGCCAGCTCCACCTCAGCAATATCCGCCGAGTCGTCCACCACGTCCAGCGGTCTCGATCCAGCCGCAGCCACCGCCGCACATGCACCCGTCGCGCCGGCCCCATCCGCAGGGTCCGATTTCCATGCCACCGCCTCACCTGCAACGCCTGAACCCACCACCACTACCGGTAGTAGGAGGAGGACCGGTTCACCCGAACCACCCACCTCACCCCATGCACCACCACCACCAAGGTCCGCCCATGCGGAAAAAGGACGAGCAACTCGAGAGCTTCAAGCGGTACGGGCGCCCGGCGGTCCCTCCGGTGAGGCCGTCGGTGCAGAAGCTCAGGATGGAGGACGAGATGGCCGGCGACCGGTTCTCCGCGGAGCCGCCCCAGGTGCCGCCTCGGCCCATCATCTTCTCGAAGAACCGACAAGACCACCAGATGACCAAAGTCGCGACCCTGCAGATGATCCAGCAGAGGGGCGGCTTTGACGACGACATCATCAAGTCGAACCTGCCGCCGCTCTTCAAGGTCAGCAAGAACGACAGGGGCAGCGACGACAGCTCCGGGACTGCTGATGTCGATGGCGACAATTCCACCCTGGTAACGTATGATGAATTAATTACACAAAAGCGCGGAGATTTCGCTTCAGTACTCGTGTACTACCGATGACTCGGTTGATTCGCAATTAATGCACAATCTCTTTTTGGGGTGTAATGACGAGGGGATACTTGATTTTGAAAACTCTTGTGTGTACAGAGCAATGAAACCAATCGGCGCAAGGACACAAGTGAGCTCGACAACCGCGACACCAGCGTTGGAACGCCCGACAGCGCTGATCCCGTCTACGTTGTTTACCCGGTGAACAGCGCGGTGAACATCGGCAGCCAGGAGGACACGGTCGAGCGCGACGAGTCCGTGGTTATCGGCACCCGAGGTCCTCACAGGCCACTGCCACCCGACACCCTGTCCCTGCACTACGACGAAGACGAAGAAAAGCCCAAAGGGGACAAGAGCGACAAGGACTTTTTGAGCAAGAGGCCGCACAACAACGCCGTCAATTCCGACTTTGGGCCTCAGGCGGGCATCTGGTCTGGGCCCATTCTCATCCCTAGCGACGAGCTCGAGGAGGAGCGGCGAAAGGAGGCGGAGGAAGCAGCGGCGGTAGCTGCTAGCAGTGACACGAGCTTCAATGTGATCTCGTACCTACAGGGCCTCCTGCCCTTCGGCAAAAAGAGCGACCAACAGAGCGCCACGATCTCGGCGACGCTGCCACGACTGCCGCCCCCAGCTCTGGTTACCCAGTCGTCGAGTCCGATCGCTTACGTCTACACACCGACGACGCCCTCGAGCGAGTCAGGCGACGACGAGGGCGACAACAACGAGGACGAGGAGTTGCTCGTCCGGCCTGGCGTGCGCAGGGAGGAGAAGCCAGTGCTTCTGCCCTCCCAGCAGCCGAGCAGCTCGTCCTCCTCGGCACCGTCGCCCCAGAGCTTCATGGCGCCCTTCGTCGCGAGCGTCTCGGCCGAGATGCCGGTGAAAAACGGCTGGAGCGTCGTCGTGGCGCCCTCGACGGCACAGCAGCCGGTCAACGGTACCGAGCGCTCCAAGGAAGAACAGAAGCCGACGTCGAACGGTAGACGGGAGGATGAGCAGCAGCAGCAACAGATGAGCGCCAGCCAGGAAAACGAGGCTCAGACCGAGAGGAGCGGCGACGAGAGCTTCGATCCCGACAAGTTCAAGCCCCAGCTGTTCGGCGGCTTCAAGCCGATCTACGAGTTTCCCGTGGGAATGGAAGAGGCCGAGGACACTCCGACGCTGTCCGGTAGGGCTGCGACTTCGAGAACTGGCGGGAGGAGGCTTCTCGTGCAGTGACAGCCCAAAGACACGGGTTAGGGAATTTTGCTGTTCGTCCACGTGTCTTCCTTTTCTTTCTTCCTCTGTCTTCTTTTGCAGTACCGGTGTTCCCTTGGGCATTTTTTAAAATTTGTTTTTAATTCCCTCGAGGATAGCTGTCAAACATACAATTTAGAGATGTAATAGCACCAAGTCGTTGCTGATCTGATTGATGTTATTAATTTTCAGTATTAAAATTAGAAGAGAAGAAAAAAAAATTAAAGCTATCGGTGGCGTGTGTACATTGACTATATATATTAATTCGTTTGTCCTTAACTCGATTGATCGGTTTGATGATATAAAAATGCTAGAGGGAACGCGAGGTGCGAGTCGTGCAATGAGGTGCGTGTAAATACAAAGGTGATCGGTAAACTGTATATGCGCGAAAAGCGAAAATTTTTCGTCGCGGGGTGCACATTTGAAATATAGACGTAATTTTATCAATGAAACGCCCTCGTTGCAGCCGACGATCTTGTCTGACTGCATATCCGTATGGCCAATTACCGCGAGCAAATTAAGCTAATTGTGTCAAGCAGTTCGACTCTATATACTTACGATAGAGAAATGAATGAATCTCAGAGTTGAAAATGAACAAAAAAAAATTACTGCTCGGTGGAACTGATTTCTCTATTAACTCCTAGGAAGAATCGGTGCGCCCTTTCAAGCACCATACAATTGTAGTATTCGTAGTTTTCGTGAAAAGAAAGGGAGTTTTTCAGAGAAATTTATCATCGACCTGCAGAGATAATGACGCAGTGGCACTGTCGATGTACCGGACGTGCGTTGATGCCTGTGCCAATCGTATTTTGTTGCGTATGCCAAATTATACACGTATATATTTTATACTGTATTCTGTAACGTATTTTATTTTCTACATCTTATCTTTTTTTTTTTTTTTTTTTGTACTTTAGCTATTAAAAAATCTCGATTGCACTGTACTTATTACTCAGGCACCTACACATAATCGGCGTTGTATTATTTATTTTTTTTTTTATTGAACAAAAAAAAGCAAGATGTATTTTTAGACAATAAGTGGTGCGTTGTGACTACTCCTAGATTGTAGTTAAAAAATTCTGTATTCATTATTTATTTATATAATATACAATTGATACTCAGTATGCATGCTCGATCACGTTTTTTTTCTATTGGCGGCTTGACGCTCTTCCCATTCCTTCTTTTGTCGAGCTCGATCGGCGCTTTTTCGAGCCCGTTTTACGCTGCGCAACTCCTCTCTCATATTGAAATACTGGTCTCGGAAATTTGCCTCTCCTATTGTACATGGGGGATCGTTGGGCTGATGAGAAGATAATTGGGTTAGAGATTTTACTAAGAATTGAACGTTTGAGTGCAAATTGGTTTTTACCTCGGGTTCCTTGATTTTTTCGTAAGTTAACAACAGTCTACTTGTGTAATTACTAAGAATTTGTTCCGATCTAGCGACAAGTTTTAAACAAGGGTGTATGGGTAGTTGATCCTCTGAATATTCTTTCCTAAAGCAATGGAGTATTCCAAGTGAGATTTTTAACATTTTTTTGCATCAAAAGTTTAAATTAAAACTAATCATTACCTAAACACTGGAAACCAAAAAACTATTCTACCTGACAGCCTTAAATGGACTGTAGAAAATTCTAGAAGATCAATAAATAGTTGGCATAACGCATACTCTACTTTGGATGGTATGTGCGTCTCTAGTTGGTGTTCTTCTATACAAGGCTTAGCTTTTTGAGTTCCTATACGCTCAACAGCTTCACGAATACCATAGGGAGCTATAAATTTATAAATATCTTATGAATCGGAAAAAAACTCACATTTTTTTATTATCTTACGGTCAGTAATAATGGCATCTAATTTTACATCGGATCTCCATAAAGGTCGCGAAAAATCGGAAACAATGACGTCTAAGAATCTTGATTCAATACCATACTGTTTCATGTTTGATGTTATGCTTTCATCTTCTTCTCTTATCTGAAAAAATTACACAATAATTCGTTGGATGCAGTAATAGCATTAACAATCAATTTTTTTTTTAACCTTTTGGGTGATTCTGCTAGGTCTGCTGCGAGCATGAAGCATTAAAAAATCTATGTCCGTACCCAGAGTATAGCCACCAAACATCGATGCTGGAATAAGCAATGAACCACTACCAACAAATGGATCCAAGACAATGTCTCCACTTTTTACTTGAGCTTGATTAGCCATTATAATAGATAGTTGAGGATCCATTGACGTGTTGCCTATAAATTTTCTAGATTTTAAAGACAGTTTTTTAATTTTATCCCTTTGGCCATCAGCAATCTAAACACAATTAAGAAAAGTTAATTACAAGCTATATCTAGGTTTTGATAATATTATTAACTCACCAGTCTTCCAAAAAACAAATCAAGAGGCTCTTCTGGAATGGCATTAGGTTGCAAACCATAATACTCTATGTAGAATAGTGTTGTGTCTGGATTTTTTAAATTAACTTTGCCGGTCCAAGGCAAGTAACTAAAAGCCTTAGAACAAAGTTACTAGCCAATACTATACAGTTGATATCTATGATCAATTATAGGATGATAAATGAGTATTACCTCTACTTTTTCTACTTTTTCTGTTTGAGTAAAGTGCTTGCAAAATGTTTCAACAAAGATCTTATAAGTCGTAGTTAGGAACGGTGCGGTCTCATTATGAGGAATAGCTTGTAAAGTTGAATGCAGACCATGAATAGTATTTGAATGTGACCATAATTCAATGCAGTGTTTCAATAAAACTGATCTATCAGCTATCAGTCGCGCTGCACTTTCAGATGGCAGTTCAATTATCCAGAATGGCTGTTCATAAAGTTTATCTATTAATGCGATACAACGGAAATTAACAAAATAAAATTGATTTCGGGCTTGAAAATATAAATAAATAAATGACTCCTATCTTACTTGGTCGGCTGGTTTATGTATCGATTTGTAGGTTATGCTAAACATACTAATTATTGAGTCCATCTCCTAGAATAAAATAAAATTAAAATAATAATAATGCATTTAATTGATATGAAAAATGATTCACTAACAGCCATTCGGAAGTTTACGTGCTCGTGAGCGAACCATAACAAATACTTTTTCCATTGTTTATTCATAGCGACAGTTAATATATGTACATGCTCTCTCCTTACTGTAAAGGTTCTCTTTCCATGCTCTTTTGGTAAACACGGATATGTGTGTGAGAGTGTACAGCGTTATTTGCAGTATTTGCATTTGCACCATGATCAAGTGAGATTGCTCCATTTTTATGAGACTTTTCGTGTGTCTGTGCTTCTTTTTCAGGCCTTTTTTCTTCGATTGTCTCTTTTGGACTGATTAATTTGTGCTTACATGAGTTAATGGTAAAAGGTCAAGAGTATTGTAATTTTGTAAATATTGTCGATTTTATGAGCCATATAAGATAAGTAGAATATTGATGGTTTTGGAGATCGATTTTAAGGTAAAAAACATATTGTAAACTTGCCGCAAGTAGCTAAAAAAATGTTAACTATTTATTGTCTATTTACAAGATTATTTGCGGCTGGTTTATAATTATCAAAGTGACTTTACTGTAAGTAGCAAGTAGAAATAATTATTTTGGATCAACGCCATCTAGCGGTCTTTATTTTTTGGCCAAAAGTGGCTCCTAAAATTCTAAATCAGAGCATTCCGGATTAGAGCCATTTAGTCAATTATAAACCAGCCGCAACTCATGAAGAAGTTATAAAATAAAAAAATAACGATACATGTGTTTTTGGCGGCAATTTAACAATCTATCTAATGCTTAAAAATTTATCTTCAAAAGTATAAACACATAAGAGGTCAATTTTTTGGTAGAAAATAGATTGTTATCTTGCCGCCAAAAACATACGTATTATTATTTTTTTATTTTGTAACTTTATCATGAGTTGCGGCTGGTTTATAACTGATTAAATTGCTCTACACGCTAATGCTCTGGTTCAAAAGTTTAGGGCCACTTTTTAGTTCAGAAATTCGCAACGCTAGATGGCGCTGATCCAAATAGTTATAACTATATATATACTTACAGTAGAGCAAATTAGTCAATTATAAACCAGCCGCAATTAATTGCATAAATATGAAATATAAAGTTAACATTGTTTGTGCTGTTTGTGGCAAAATTAGTGGAGTGAGCATATGTAAGCTGCTGAGAGTGACAGGGCGACCGAGTGTGTAATGTGTATAGATACTACCTCTCTCTCTCTCTCTCTCTCTCTCTCTTTCTCTCATGTCTGCGATTTTTGACCTACTGTATATCTATATATGCGCCTAGTGATTTACTGCTGCTAGAAATCCCTAGAATCTAGGGTTTTTTCCAAGACGGATCCCCTAGAAAATAGTTTGCGTCTGACCGCGAAATCCGAAACGGTAGATGGCGCTGATGCACAATACACAATGCATAATTTGCAATATGCAATTAACTGACAATACCTATAAGTGGTATAAGTACCCCACACACCCCCGCGTTTCCATTCTGCAGAATCTCTGTACTGTCACTGGCGTTTACCGGGTTGTTGTAGTTTTTCTCTGCAAGCGTTTATACATTTTATAAATATTTCCATATAATTATATAATCACTCATTGGCTATGGACAACGAAAAAGCAGAAATGGATTTGCCGCGTGTGTTAATTGTGAGTTCGAAAATGGACAACGCCAAGGAAATAGCAAACAGTATGTACACTTTTAGTAAACAATGAAAACCATGAGAACATTTTTCATGGTTTGGATTTTTGCATCTGTTCCAGGTATGAAAGCTAAATACTTATTGAGACAGGGCGATGTTGAACAGTATTTACTGGATATTGATAATAAGTATTACACTGCCCAGATATTGCTGTGTACAACTGAAAATTTGTCAATTGATGCTTCAGACTTTGAAGCTCTGTTACTTCACCATGATTTTGAAACGGTAATTTATTTATTTCAAATGGGATCTAGTCAATATCAGCCCAACATTTGCTTGCTTTGCATAAAAATACACTAATGGTTCATTAACTTGCCAGGAAGACACATTAAAAATGGTGGAAGAACAAATAACAGCAATTGTCACTCAATCAACTGCAGAAGTACTATTGCTACTTAGTAATTCTATCCCCAATGTCAGTATCAGAGAGAAAGGTGAATTTTATACATATGATAGGTAAAAAAGGGTCATCCTTAAGATTGCTTATAACTATAATTCATTCACTATCTTTAGTGATAGGATGGTGTGCAGCAAAAAAATTTGAACTTATTGAGTTAGATCCTACGGATAAGGAAATTATGGATCTGGAAGAAGATCAGAGCAACTACGGCATTGCAAGAATAATTGAAGTTTTGGAAACGCATGCATGGCCAAACATGAATCTTAAAGGTTAGTATGAAAAGTCTTGATAAATCTCATAAAATATCAACATTTGTCACGGAAACATTCTTTTCCAGTTGATAGAAAAAATACTGAGGTGCCTCAATCTGAGATAAACAAAGTTGAAGATCAGCTGGAAAATGTCCAACTAAATACCTCCAAAGATTTTTCAGAATGCTTACAAATGGAAAGCATTCTTGGTAAATAATATATTTTTATGTATACCGAAAAATCAAACCAGTTGAAAGTTGAATATAACACAAAATCAATTATTTTGCAGATGGAATCATGAATAACGAAGATGCAGATTTTGGTGAATTATTTAGTCATTTGAAAGCAATGAAAGAGCAAACTGCTCAAATGCCTTCGAATCAAAGAAAAGTTGCTGCTGAACAATTAGTGACAGCGTTTTGGAAAGCAATAGGAGGAGATCCCTCAGAAATTGATGATGAGAACATAGAATAAGTCTTGTAAATAGTGAGAAAGATCTTAGGTATTTGTAATATGACAACACAAAGCGTTTTGTTCGCCATTCATTTGGTCTGCAAGTAACATCATGATTTCAAAATCAGTAAAAAAAAACTAGAATAGATTCTGTAAATATATCAGTATAGAAAATAGAGATATAAAAAGTATTAAAATAGAATACTTAGATAGTTAACTTGAGTTATTGCTTTAAAATATATTAGAGTTTTGTATTTAATAATCTTGTATTGGTCAATTGTAATCAAAACCAGATAAATTTTTTAATTGACAAATTCTACAGTTAAACGTCGCATGTACATATCATACCTGTAAGGAAAACTGCCGCAATATAAAAATTAATGTATTATTTTTATAGTAGGAAACATTTTTTTTTTTTTTGACATATTGTATCTATTTTTAGATAAAAAAAATTGTATCTATACATCAGACTAAAAAGCCTTTCACTTGAAACTTTTCTCGCACATGAGAAATACTGAGAAATAAGGCTGAAGATCTAGACTCATTTTTTTTTTTCAGGACTTTGATTTTGTGTGCATACGAGTAAAATTAGTTCATTTGGCAGCCGTCGACAACAGACACCGAACTTTTCATATTGTGTAAATGAACATTCCATAATTGCAGCCATCCCCACTGGCCCCACGGCGTGGTTTTCTCTCGCCATACCAATCCCCCCACCCTATCGACTTGCATATATGTATACCGGCATATACAGCAGGTACGTACAACAGTCTGCTCCGTGCTCCTCAGCTTCCCAGCTGCTGCTCCAGAAAGATGATTCAAATAGTGGTGCCATTACTACTATTGCTGGCACTGAAGAACACAAATGGAGAGCCAAAAGTTTTTTTTAATAGAACAGAAGTGCAAATTCATATGGACGAAGTTGTACCTATTTCATTTACTATTGAAAGCATAAGCAATGATAGTACTATAAGCAACTTTCGTGCCACTAGTTCAAACTTGTATGTAGTTAAATTAGATGTACCAAGCTTTAATTCTAGTTTGATTCATAATGGCTCTTACAAGAGTTTCATCAATGCCACCGGTATTTTCCTCGGCAATGCCAAGATTAATATGTCAGTTATTGTTAATGGGGTAAGACACATACTACTAAAATGATTATCTAAAAAAAAACCACTATCAAAGAATTTTTAAATTATGATTTTTATTTTACTGTTTGATTTTCAGAAACAGGTAGTATCAGAAGCAATTAACGTCATAGTAATTCGGAGTGTAAGACTAGTTGATAAACTTTTTACAGCAAGTGTAGCGATACTAGTGTCCATATTATACATAAATTTCGGATGCGCAATGGACTGGGATTCTTGCAAAAAGACAATAAAAAGACCCGTTGGACCATTAATAGGATGCTTTTGTCAATTTCTCCTAATGCCAATGGTGAATACTATAATTAATATTTTAACATGATCTGCCATTACTGCGCAAATGCTGACATGCACATTTTCAGATAAGCTACTGCCTTGCAATCGTGTTATTTCCCGAATCTCCAGAAATGCAGCTAGGAATATTTTTCACTGGAATCAGTCCAAGCGGCGGTGCTTCTAACATTTGGACCATGTTGCTTGGTGGAAATCTGAATTTATCTGTAACAATGACCACTTTGTGTACACTTGCTGCATTTGGTAAATATAAATTAGCTATTAACATGATAGATATATTTATACTCTATAAGAATTTTTAATTATATTTACAGGTATGATGCCACTATGGATTTTTACTCTTGGCAAACATATTTTTGACAGAGGCAATTTAGCTATGCCTTATGACAAAGTAGCTACTTTTGCTATTGGTCTCATTATACCACTGGCACTTGGATACTTTATCCAGAAAAAATTACCGAGGCTATCAAAAGTCTTGGTGCGCATGATGAAGCCTTTTTCTCTGGTCCTTATCATTTTTATCATTGTTTTTGCCATTGTCACTAATCTATACTTGTTCAAGCTTTTTTCCTGGAAGGTAAATACGTTTATTATCATTGTGACTTAGGTATTTTTAATTAAACTGAGCTACTCTATGCTATGTAGATTATTTTAGCTGGAATGGGACTACCATGGCTTGGATTCCTTTCGGGTATGCTAGTTGCAATTTTTTTTCGTCAGTCAAATCAGGATGTAAGGGCGATCGCCATTGAAACAGGCATACAAAATACGGGAGTTGCTATATTTTTACTCAGATTCAGTCTGAAACAACCGGCTGCGGATTTGACTACTGGTAACATGGAAATTTTACTTTTTTTTTTTTTTTTTTTTTCAACAAGCGGAAGATTAAGTTTGTAATTTTCTTTCTAGTTGCTCCAGTATGCTGTGCTATAATGACTCCGTTGCCTTTGCTGATACTATACATCGTGAAAATTATTTTGGATCGAAGAAAACAACTAGCCGCTTCGAGTGATAATCTACGATAATCCGAATAATTTATTGAGCTCGTCATCGTACTCTTCTACTAGACTCAGTCAAACAGTGGAATAAGGAAAAATTTATAAGTACTTACAACTGGTTGTGGGATTACACCACTGATTGTTATCTAATCAAGTGGTTGAATCATCAAGAAACATACAAACATTTATAATGATGTTATGCTGTAACTGTGTGTACAAATTTGTTGTTAGTATAGATTATAGATTTTATTATTACAAGTGGACATGACGTTATATTTGTTTGTTATAACATTTATTTAATTGCGTGAGAACAAAATTATGTACAAAATTTGTGTTTATCTAAGCAAATGTTGATTTTACTATTAAAAAATTTTAAAAAATGATGTCTGAATGGGAATAATTGTAGGTGTTAAGTAGTAGTAAAATATTTTATTGCAAAATATAAAAAATACAAAAAATTATTGAAATTCTAAAAGTGAAGACCCTTTTTGTATAATACATGACTTAACATGAAATGTAAATATCCTATTGACACAGTATTTAACATGCGCTGCTCATGTATATCAGGATAAATGAAAATAAATTATACTTTGGGTAAAATTGTTTAAACAGAATTGACATTTTACGTTTGAAAACTAGATTTAAAACCTGCCGGTCCCACGTCCTGAGTCAGAGTCACGACATTCGCACATGATCCGTAAACTATAGTAAAAAAAATACAAAAAACAATATCTTTGTATTAATTTGTCTTACTAATGAAATAACATGAATTTGAGGTGAAGGTAGTCTTGTCGCTCGTCAACGGAACTTTTTTTGGCTCTCATCCGACATTTCGATTGCAATGAAAGTGAGCTCGTGGCAATCGTGGCTGCCCAAGTACTCACTAGGTAACACCCAGCCAGACCGCATTAGTACTTCGCCTGAGTTAAACTACTATAGGTACATACTTTCCAAAGTACTACTCATGGAGATTAATCTCTGACGTAGTGTTCCGAGGTGGGTAGGTGGATGAAAGTGTGAAATTCAGAAAGTTGTTCAAAAACTTTGAGCGCCTTGAAGCCAGGTGGACGTGCACTACATGCGCCCCAGGCGCTGCTATTTTAATATAATGCAACAATCAAAGAAGAATTGTTATCTACATATAATTGTTTGTTGCTTTAATTGTCATGCGTAACTTGAAATTAAATGATTTAAGTTGAGAATATTTTGATTCTGTGGCAAAATTAACTTTCTTTTCTCAAACTTCAACGAGTGATTAAAAGGGAAAAATGGTGATGAACAATAGTTTTGCTCGCTTACGGTACCCAGAGGGAACTCCGAGGCCCGAGCGCTCCCAAAATGTATATAGTTAACTTGTAAATATTTTTGACAGCGCTTATCAGAGTTGGAACGCTGCGGGTCACGAACAAATCTAATTAAAGTAAAAAACAACAAAGAATATTGTCATATGAGTACAAGCTTCATTTTTTTGAGTATAGGTTCATTCAAGGTTTGTTGGGAATGTTAGATGCATAAGCTTGATGTCCTCATAAAAATAATGCATTAAAAATAATTTTTCAGGGAGCCTTTCAGCATTATATCAGTGGTCAGTTGTAATTGTATACATAGGTACACTTTGATTTATTATAACACATACAATGTGACGGATTAACTGAAAAGAATCAATTCGTATTTTTTTTTTTTTGTATAAAATACAAATACTTTATTTTTCAATCGAATGCACTTAATCAAATGCATGCATATGATATGTACACGTCAGATGTGACATTTACAGTGAGAAGTTTTTTTGACTATTATATAGAACGTGTCTTACAACCTAATCAAAACGTTATAAATTTAAAATAACTAACGCACTTTCGGTGACGATATTTTTCGTACATCTCGGCAATTAAGTGCAAGGAAAAAAAAAAAGTATATAAAACAGTCGAGGAAACATCGTTTATTTTTCGTTAATGCGATCGATTCGACCTGCATACTGGACTTTGTATAACAAAATACAAGCGCGTAATATTTTTAATGTAAATGAACGGAGGAAAATAATCATTTTCGCATTAATGTACTCCTTTCAACTATGTGAATGGTATACGTATAATCGTTACTTTTATGCACTTTGATGCTTCTCTTAACAATGCGATTAGCAAGTCAATCGCTTTGTTTTTACATTTGGTCTTTAATGAATAGGTGTGTGCGTCTTTATTTCTTTCGCTATTTAATTAAAATGTAACAATATTCTACATTGAGGAAAATAATATAAATTACTGATGAAAAATAATTTTCTTGTTTTAAAAATAATTCTATAATGATGACTCAACACAAATTAAAATTTACATAGCGAAAGAAAAAACGACTTTACATGCTATCCTCGGTTTTCCCACAGTCGCTACACGCATCGACTCTTAAAGTTCCTCGATCGTCGCATCCGTTGACTTTTTCCAGCAACTCTTACTATTTTGCGTGTTTAACATCTTTGGAATATAAATCGAAGAAATTGCACGAGGAATCGGAGCTTGCATTTACCATCTATTTTTTTACATTCTACTCGCTGCATCTTCATTCGTTATTCATGCTATTTTTCACTTCTAGTTAAGTACTAATCAATTTTTTTTTTTTCCCTAATCAGTGTGCGTTCTTTGCCGCATTTGATTTTTCACGTTATGTATATATAGTACTCGACATCCTTAAAATATAAAAAAAAAATATATAAAAAAAATACATACAGGGTCGATGTTTTTTTTGCCCTATTTTTTCACTTGATTTTGTTATCTACACTTTTTAGTTCAGNTACAGTACATAAAATAAAGAACACACCTCTTTTTTTAGTGATTTTTTAAACTCAACTCAAATTCTCAAAAATAAACAGTTTTGTGGAATAATATATAGATATATAATCATTCCTTTATAAATGACGAAAAATTTCACTTTTTTCTTCGTAACAAAAAAAAAATTACAGTGACAAAAACATAGTTAATGATGCGATTAATTTTTCTTGGCATACCAAAAGTAGAAAATATAATTTTACATATTTAAATTTTGGTAAATTTGTATGAAATTACAAAAGAAAAAAAAACAGTTTCAAAATTTTATAGTAGAGCGCAAAAAAGCACATTATTTGTAGTCTCAAAAACATCTTCACTTAATTTTTCCAACTTAAATCTCTAACAAATTTGCATTTTTTTTTTTGCTTAAAATAAATTATCGTTTTTTTTTAGTAACAAATCTCAAAAAAAATTCTTCCATTTCAACATGCACGCGATTTTCAACATTTTTCGCTATAACGCTTTGTATATATTCTCCTTTTTTATCGCCATAGGAACGGAAACAAGAGTGAACTCAGGCACTTCTCTTAATTCTTAGTTGCTTACATTTTAAACAACAACGTTATTTTTAGTCTTTTTTTTGTAATCGTAATTATTTTACTTTTAAAAATGAATGCATTTATAAAAGAAAACAATTTTTCATCCATCAGCTATACCGCATCAATATTTTACATTCGTTGGCATTAACACAATAGTTCAAAATAACGTACGATAATATTAATATAATAATAATAATAATAATAATAATAATAATAATAATAAAATAATATTACTAACCATAAGAGTAATAATGATAGCAATAACGTATATATAAATATACACAAAAATGCTAAATGACTTGATATGACTAAATGCATTTTTTTATTTGTTTCATTCATGCACAAATTTTTCGCATGCTTTTCTTTTTTTTTTTTTTTTTACTTCTTCTTCAAATAGTAGATGTAATTGTGCAAAATTGTTATTAGCTTCCGTTTTTTTTCTTACGTGTTTATGAATTTTCTTTTTATTTTATGACAGTTAGAGAAAAAAAAAAAAAAAAAAAAAAATTAATTTTAAACCCTTAAATGTTAAAATGTGTAAAGCGTATTGCATTGCCTTCCCCCAGCACGCCTCCCATATACATTTTATCGTTTGTTGACAGTATCAATACAGACTCGATGTTTTGTAGTATTTTTTCGAAGCAAACGTCGAGGCAAGTTTTTAAAATGTTTATTGTCATCGATCGTCGATTCTTTTAATACTTTTAGATACTCCTTTCTCCAAACAAAATCGTTTTTGCATTATTTCTTAGCCAATACTGTATATGTATTTAAATTACGGAGTGATGGGCACGTAAAAAATAGTATTAATATACAAAATCATCATCTTCAAAGCGGGAGTAAAAAATTGCAATAAGGATCAAATTATCGGTACACCATATGACAACAACCGCGAGTGTATATGTCTGTATCAAATTTTACGGTCATAATCTTCATTCGTAGAGTAGTAACAAACACGAGTAAGAAAACAAAAATCTGTCAAACAAAAAAAAGCTTAAATCACTGTAATATTTACATAAAAAAAATGATGTGATGCAAGCGTTTTATCCGCCATGCATTGGCAGGAGCCAAGTAACCCTAAACAGGGAGAGAAAAGAAGAAGAAAAAAAATTGATTTCAAAATAAAGGGTGTACGAAACCGGTGCGCGAGTAGCCCCAACAATCCTTAAAAAAGCAACTACAAGAAAATCATCGAAAACGCAGCGATAAATCTTTCAAAAAAATAAAGAGAGAAAAAAAAATCAACAGAGACCCTTGCCTCGACGACGACTCCGATATGTCCCTGTCACCGGTTCCCCTCCAGGAGGCTCATGCTCGTCCCCAACGACCCTCTTTCATCGTTTGCCGATCGGCCGCAGCAACGTCAACGCAGCGATCGGTCCATCGGAGCGGCGCTCTCAGCGGCCCCGCCTCAAAAGTGCACGTCCCTAATGTCAGTCGGCGTGCTCGCCTTCTCGTACTCGACGAGCTTCTCCTGGGCCGTCATCTCCATCTCCACGTCGTTCCCCAGCTGCTGCTGACCTTCCCCCAACTCGGTCTGTTGGTGGTGGTGGTAGCCACTCGTGCCAGCTGTCGTCGAGCCGGACGACGTCGTTGTCGCACCGCTGCCGCTCGCCTGTGTCGTGGCGCCGCTGTCGCAGCCGGTCCGCACCATCTCCTCGATCTGCTCCAGGCAACTCACGAGGTAGTCCTGCAATCACGACGGAAATAATGACGCATCATTAAATATTTCGTTTCCGTTACTTATTCAGCATTGGCGTGTCAACGGCTTAACTCGTGATTCAATGGAACGCGTTATCGCGTCCCCGTGACGACACGGTGGAAAGGGGAGTGGGCGTGTATCGATGATATATAAAAGAAACAAACCTGCTCGATGCCGGTGATGCGCGTCAGTTCGTTGAGTAGCCAGGCGAGGTTGTAGCCGCTCTTGTTGGTCCAGTCGAGGCCGTGTAGTGCAGCGGCTACCGAAGCTGCGGCTATCATGCTTGGCGTGTACATCGAGAACTTGTACTCTGCAAATGGAAGAAAAAACAACAATCGTTTGATTTCCTCGTTCGTTTCGTTCCAAGTGGTTTTGTCTGTCACTTGTTAATTAACATTGAATGTAACGAGTACCGAGACTTGATATACATGGGACGACTTTGTTTTCTCATTTCGGCGAGCGAAAATCAGACGGCTACAATGAAAAAAAAAAAAAAAAAAAAAAAAAAAAAGCTCGTCCGAATCAACGCCAACCTACGGCCATTGGTATTTTTCGGGAGAAATAATTATTGAGTCCCCGATAAAGCCTCGCGTATAGATATACTTGGGCTTCTAGCAATCAAGGCTCGAACGAGTGAAATAAAATTAAAAAACAGGGGGGGAAAAATTACAAAACTTTCTAAACGACGTCAAAGTCGAAAATACCAGTGGCTGCTTATCACGGGTGCGCGTGTAACTTCCGAGTCATCGTTCGAAGAGAAAAAAAAAAAAAAAAAAGATCCATTCACGCGCACGTACGCGTTATCGCCGGAGCGCAAAAATATTATCTCCCGTTCCGTTTGCGGCTGGGCGCGTCCCTCGTAGTCCGCGCAATCGGTGATGCTTCACGTAAAGTTGCGAGTGCCGACTCAAAAGTACGGCGAATTCCAACGAAACCCGTAAACGTGTACGCGACAAGTCCGAGAAAATCGCGATACAATCTCGACGAAAGTTGATTTTTACAACTTTTCCCAAGTGGACCATACCTGGGTTATCAGAGAGATTCGTGCGAGGGGTTGGCACGTGAACGCCTTTTTCTTCTTTGCACGCGAATCGCGTTCCACCTCGCGAGCTTTATCTTTTGAAAGAATCTACGTTTTCTGAGTTGCCGAAAGAAAAAAAAAAAAAAAAAAATTTGGATCAAACGTGGTTGTCCAAAAATAAGCAAATATGCAGTGACATTGGACCGGTTAGCTGATACTATCTGTCGATCAACAACATTGAGATTTCTAGAGATTAAGCAAGAGACGAAACAAAATATAAATAAATGAAAAAAAGGACTTGACGTCTGAATTGTGATGGGCAAGTAACTATAGGTATAGTATACGCGAGAGAGGAGAAGAAAATTGAAAATCAGGCGAGCCATACGCGCACGTGTCTGCTCTTTATTCGTGGATGGATTGGTATATACCTATACACACACATGCACACACGGGAAAAAAGAAAAAAAAAAAAAGAGAGAAGAGAAACGTATGTGTTTAAGGAACGGAAGACTTTTCCAAGGTTATTCCATCGGCTACACAGGCAACGTTCGCGTGGCGCGACCACCAGTGATAATGTGTATTATATATGAGCTTGCATTTACCA